AACCTCCAACTCCTGGGCTTAGGCGATTCTCTTGCCTCAGCCTCCCGAGTAACTGGGACTACAGGCACCTGCCACAAACGCCTGGCTATTTTTTTGTTGCAATTTGACCAGGGCTGGGTTTGAACCTGCCACCCTTGGTATATGGGGCCAGCACCCTACCCACTGAGCCACAGGCACCACCCCTGGCTATTTTTCTGTAGCAGTTGTCATTGTTGCTTAGCTAGCCCAGGCCCGGTTTGAACCCACCAGCCTCAGTGTATGTGGCCAGCGCCCTCCCCACTGAGCTACAGGCACTGAACCTGGAATCTATATTTTCAATAAGCTCTATAGCTGATTTTCATGCTGGTAATCATTAGAGTAATAACTGTCTTAAAGTGCATGATTGGGAGATAGCCTTTTCTGGATAGGAGGGATGAAAAGTCTCAAAAGGAAAAACTTTCTAGACAGGATCCCCAAGGTCTAAGATCAGAACTCACAACTTGAATACCCTGTTGTTGTTTTTTTTGTTTATTTGTTTTTTGGGGTTTTTTTTTTGAGACGGAGCCTCAAGAGTAGAGGCTGGGTAGAGTGCTGTGGTGTCACAGCTCACAGCAAACTCCAACTCCTGGGCTCAAGCGATTCTCCTACCTCAGCCTCCCATGTAGCTGGGACTACAGGCGCCCGCCACAATGCCCTGCTATTTTTTTGGTTGCAGTCATCATTGTTGTTTGGTGGGCCCAGGCTGGATTCCAACCTGCCAGCTCAGGTTTACGTGTCTGGCACCTTAGCTGCTTGAGCCACAGGCACCGAGCCTTGAATACCCTGTATTACATTTCACCTCAACAAACATAAATTGAACAACTGGTAAGTGTCAGGGAAGTGATATGCCCTTTCTAACTTAATTCTTATGACATCCCCTAAAGGTGAGTCATAAATATTAAGAGACTTACTCTAGGTTATGAGTCTGCTTTTTCTGAATAATGGCTGGATAGTAAATGTTTTGGGCTTTGCCAGCTATACAGTTCCTCTCAGAACTACTCAGTTCTGCCATTGTAGTGGAAAAGCAGCTACACATAATACACAGTGAATGTGAATAGCATGTTTCAATAAAACTTTATTTACAAAAACAGATGGCAAGCTGGATTTGGCAACCCTCATTGTAGGTCATTGTCTTAGGTTGGGTTTACCAGAAGCAAATCCCAAGATGAGGATGCATGTCCAAGTCATTTGTTAGGAGAGTGCTCCCAGGAGAAACTGGTAAGAGATCAGGGGAACAAGGGAAGGGGAAGAAGCCAAGCAAGCTTGTGATCTCACTTAGAAACAGGCAAAGTTTCCCTGAGGGTAGTGTCAGCCTTAGGAGTCACAGATGCAAACACACCAAAATTGGGATATACCCCAGCTACTTGGGAGGCTGAGGCAAGAGAATCGCCTAAGCCCAGGAGTTGGAAGTTGCTGTGAGCTGTGATGTCACAGCACTTTACTGAGGGTGATTAAGTCAGACTCTGTCTCTACAAAAAAAAAATAATAATAATTGGGGATATACAAAACTAGTAAGAGGACTCCAAGGGGATTTTATCAGCACACCAATCGTATCCACCATCATGCAGCAAGTAAGTGGTAAAGTAAGGTGCCTTCTGATGCCAGAGCTTCTACTTTTGCTTCACCATACAGATGGGTGAAGAGAAGCATCTAGAACACTGCTGAAACTGGTAAAATGACTACATTGTGAATTT